TTGAGATTTTTCAAATGAGGAGGGTTATCGTGCCTTTGAGAGCAAGATTACAAGCCTAATATGTTTCAAGTGTGGAAAGCAGGGACATCATGCCACTGAGTGCAAGAGTGCAATTCTGGATTGTTTCAACTGTGGAGAACCAGGTCACACTAATACCTAGTTCCAAAGGCCGAAGAAAGTGCCAAGTGCCGTGAAAGCTAGTGGGAAAATGTATACTCTTACTAGTGTTGAGGTCTTGAGATCAATTAATTTGATTCGAGGTACGTGTATCATAAATGGCGTCTCTTTGATTTCTATCATTGATACAGGTGCGACGCATTCATTCATATCTCATTAATGTGTTATCAAGTTGAATTTGGTAGTGTCTCCTATGAAGAAAAGTATGGTCATTGATACCCCTAATTGTCCCATATTCATTTATGGGAAATATTTTGGAGTTGACTTGATTTGTTTACCCCTAAGTTAAATAGATGTCATTCTGGGAATGAACTAGTTAGAGTTCAACCATGTTTAATTTAATTGTTTTGATAAAACTGTGTTGTTTCCCGAGTCCTCAATGTAGTCTATCTCATATTCCCAACTGGTTTTGGAGGAAAGTGATAGATGACCCACACCTAAAAATGGTCCAAATAAAATATTAGTAACAAGTGTAACATAAGTGTTATGAATATATTAGAAACAATAAAGGTTGCAAATATATTATCGTCTATAATGTGCAGCTTTTTGTGATATGTCTTCTCTTCCAAAGAGACGTTTCAACTAGTTTTGAGTACTGATAAACCAAACCCTCCCAATTGTTCTCGTGGATCTACTTTAAGTCGATGAAGTATGTCAGGTAGACAACATCAACATATGTTGCACTTTTGTGTACAAATATTGTCGTGTTAAACAAGAACCAAACTCACGGTGGTGTTTTTTGTGTAGGTGACTTTGTCGGTTTTGTTGAGGATGGTTGACGGCGACGAAAATGTAGAAGGGATCCGCGGCGGCTTTGAATTTGCGGTGAAGGGCGTGGGCGGAAAAAGGGGACTCACAGCGGAGTTCCAAAAAGGGGAAATCGTGAAAACGCTAAGTGTTCCTCTTTCTTCCTCACAAATTTTGAGTTTTTTGAATTGGGATTTTAGTTTGGGGTTTCTGTGAGTTTGCTCGTGGATCTCTGGCTCCCCCTTCTTCGTCTCAAATTCCTCTTCTTTATAGTAATTTCAGGAAAACATTTGAATTGAATGGAGTAATGCTGTCAGACTCTTGCTTTAGAAAGTTTACGATTGTGTTGAGAACATGTTAGGATTCCGTCGGATGCATTTCCATTTTCGTTTGATATGTTAGTAACTTATTCGATTGCACTTAATCCTTTTCCTTACTTTTGGTTCCAACTGAGATCTCTTGCCATTCTTAGTGTTGACATGTTGAATGTGTTCTAGAAACAAATTGAATGGCCCTGAAAGGACTTATTGCTTTCCATGTTCATTTGAAATATTTTATGTTTTGGGAATCAATGTCTACAACTTTCCTTCTTGAATGTGTTTTAATGATTGTTAATGATAATGATTTCCTGCCTTGACCAAAACTCATGTCCTTGATGCCAGGTTTCTTACACGTGACAATATGCTGAAAGCTAGCCGTGGATAGAAGTGCATACAACAAAACTCAAGCGTGGAGGGATCCACAACATAATCCTCCGCAGCTGGAGGTGGCGATACAACTTGGAAACAACACTCTGCTGCTATATTATTGGTGTAGTCCACATGGGGTCCGAATCTTGGAAAGGCTACTTGATATGCTCAAGTTTTCATATCCTGTAATTTTCTCTTTCAATTGCAGTACTAGAGTAAACCAAAAGAAAAAAGGAGCACCCGGTTGGAGAGTTTCTTCGATGCCGCATTTCCCGACTTCCAACAAGTTCATACGAGGAGACAAAGATGCCGGTACTTATACCCGTGGTTTCTGAGGTATTAAAACTATGACTTCAACTTAAACAACTTCTGCTTTGCACCGAGAATGTGATTAAGGGTGATGAATTGATAATCGTGATATCTTGCATTACCGCAGGTATTTGTTTATATTCGGAAGCTCTGGTGATTCGCAAATTTGTTTAAGATAAAAGAATTGAGAACCATTAGCATGTGGACCGCTGTTTGCCGTGTTAACCACGCCCTCAGAGCTATACCGCAATGAAGCTGCAGTTGTAAATATCCCTTCTTCTTCTCTACTGAATTTTGCAGGTACTTCTTCAAAATCTGCTTTGCAAACGATTTTGGTTCACCTTTAGATTTGGTGTTGGCACTGATTCTGTTTTAATGATTATTTGCAGCAGTTGGACGTGGGCAGTGAGGTACATGGCCGTCGAAATGGTTCTTGTTCGAACATGGTGACTTTGTGCTCTTCGGCGTTTTGATTCATCGCGAGGCAACTGGGCTTCACATACGGTGGCATTACGTGCGTCACAGTCTTGGTATGCGAGAGAGCAAAGAGCGAAGAATGCTCTGTAAACTGATATGGCACATTTCCATGGTGTAGACTAGGATTATATTAATAAATGGACTTGGATCCCTCTTGTAATTCTTGGTTTGGTTTGTATTAGTTGGGTCTCTTGGTTTAGACTATCATCAACCCTTATGAATGGTACTCCTATGTAAATTCTGAATCTATGTGTTCACTGTATCTCAAAGTAGTGTTCCCTTCTTGAAACGTAAAAAAGTAGTTGGTATGCTGCTGTGATAATATTTCAAATCTAATTGTTACTTAGATTGGCATAATTCTCACTTGTAGTGAAGTGGCAGTAACAATTCTTAATTACTGTTAGTCTTATACCAGCTCAACCTTACGTGTACCAATTTTGAATGACTAAGCAATAATTGAGTCCTCCGTTGAATAATTTGAATTTGAATCCGATAAAACCTAAATGAACACTTTGTCGAGATCCTTAATCTGTGATAAAACCCACTTCCTTTATCAATTTGGGCTGAGATTTACTTGAGCTTGTAAATGCAACTCGGGATCTTTGTATCGCATAAACTTTGATTCTTGATTTCAGAATCAAATAATTTTGTAAATTCAAAACCTGAGTCCATGCATCTAAAGACAAAAACAAATTGCTTTTAGGGCATCTACCCGACTTCTCTTCCAAACCCAACATGCTTATCTCAAAATACCCTTAATTGCTCAAACCAGATATCATAACCAGTAGCCGGACAGTTCATCCAGGATATCCTCGAGGGGTTGATCCAATAACGACCTAAGGATGAAGAAAGAGTCTAGAAGCGGAGCCCAAATCTCTACGTGAAGTTTGAGTGCGCCTGCATAAGCTAGTTAGTAATAAAACATGCTCACAAAAAATAAAATAAAGCAAGCAAGAATAAACACAAGGCGGTGGGATCTTAAGGTCAAAAATTAGAGTGTAACAACCACACAAAAATCTTAGCTACCGTAAAAAATAAAGAGAGTTTGTCTTACTTGTAAGAGTTTCACATCAGATTGTTAGAACAAAATTGTTCACATTCCTTAAATTTTGATGATAACAAAGTACTTAAAAAACAATTGAGCATACTAACATATGTTCAACTGTGCAGGATCACAAGCTTATATTTAACTCTGAATTAACCATGTTAAAAACATGTGTGGAGAAGTAAAATAACTCAAATTATGAATGATCAAAATCTGATGACTCTGAACGTGTTCATTAGCTTTTGAAGAATTAGAATCTGGTCATGTTTTTCCAGCCTCTGGTGACAGCTTAGACTCTGAAGGTTAAAGGTGTCTTTGATGCGTACTTTGTCTCCTAGACAGACTTGTCTTGTCAAACGCCAAATTTCTGGACAAAATCAACTAGGATTTTGTTTTGTAAGGTTCAAGGAATGGTGATGTGACATCTTCAGTCTGTTCAACATTTTGATAGATACCTAGTACTTAGAAAGATGTTGTGGATAATGCTATTATTCATTGGATAATGTTCTTAACTAGATACATCCTTCAACATTTCTCTTAGCATGCTTCTTCACAAAGAAAGCTCTTATGTTCATCCCTTCTAACGACTTTTTCTCTACCTTTATAAAAAGAAGTTGAAGATTTGAAAGAAGGATACAACACTACATTAGATTAACTTGAGCATAACTTTAAACAATTGTTTATAAGTGTTATTGTATAAGTTCTTAAAAATTCTTATCTTTGTATATCTTATAAATCTAAAGAGTTAATAACTTTTATAGTTGTTGTACAACTGTTATATTGTTGATTGTTTATCAAAAGTATAGTTGTAATCATTTTTACTAATCTGTTTGTTTAAAGTATAAGAAGTCTCTTGCCGGTGTGCTTGAGCAGTGAAGTCTCTTTCTAGTGTGATTGAGGAGAAGTCTCTTGCTAGGTTGCATGAGCAGAAGTCTCTTGCTTCTGATTCATATTCTTTCCACTGCTATTATAAACTTTAATATCAAATTCTGAAGTTGCTTTTCTGAAACAGGAATATTGATTCGTTTTCTCAGTAATTGAAGGCTAGTATTATATATATAGAGAAAAAAGGTATATGTTAATGGTGGATTTCTCAATAACTTTAACCAAAGCTGCCATAAATATAACAAGATCCTACGTAATACAACTCCAACATTTACTATCTGAGCCTCCTTTAGGATTAAATAATTGGAATCATGTTGTAAATTCCAAGAAATTCTAAGAATGTTTAAAATGGGCAAGTTGCTTAATTGCCTAAGTACAACAATTCATTTTATAAATTTCTATTTTGGTTGCCGAAAAGTTGTTGCATATCCTGCAGAGTAGAATCTTCCAAGGAGACTTTTAGCAGAGATGACAATTGGGAAGAATGATGAAGTTCAACCAAAAAAGTTTAGGAAAACCACCTCCATTAGATGAAGCATGCAACTATAACAGTTAGGGGAAGAGGATTTCTTGACAGTATCCCCTTCAAGCAGCACTAAAGGTGAAGTCTCCACAAATTGGTTTATAAGAGAAAATCATAAACTCGATCTTTTTAAAGAACAGGGAGGACTTTATCCCTTCAACCAGTCTCGAAAGTAAGATTGCATCTTTTCTCGATTAGCAGCATTGCCAACATTCACAGTAGGAATTATCTTGTCAGGCTTCAAAAACTGTTGAAAGATATAGATAAATCCCCTTAAAATATAAGACAGAAAATAATGCAACTATACAGCTACCATAAAAAAGGTGTATAAAAAAAAGTAATAATCATGTTCAGTTACGGACCTGAACAAAATCTCGTAGTTCTGTGAAGCTGGAATGCTCACTGTAGGGAACCCCTAGAAGAAGGGAGAAAGGGGACTTATAAGAAATACTACAAGTCAGCTAGCTAGATAAATAAGTATTGAATAACCAGCAGCAAATAAACAGAAGAAAAGCTTTTACCTACTAAGCATTTCAGTTATATTCATTATTGATAAATAACTAAGCGCTAAACCTAAGTTCAAATTTTATATCAAGTGTGGCGTTGAACTGCAGCTAATCTTACCATATATCGTTATATTTCCTTTGGAAATAGGTTTAATTAGTTCCAAATCATTGCCTATCTTCTCACTAAAAGTCCAACCTGAAAATACAATATATAGCATCAAAATTAAAACTATTCTATCAGCACAAATAGCTTCTCCATAGAATACTTGAAAACATACGAAGATGATCAATAAGTCATTTTCATTAAAAATACTGGTAACATACCTGTTGGACGAAATGCTAATACTGATGTGAATTGTTCCTTGTAGGTTTTCAAATATTCCTTCAAAGTCTAATGTAACGAGAAAAATATGGATGGTGAATTATGAGATAACGGAATAGAATTATAAGAAAAACAAACTTTTTAGATAAAAATACAAAGGCACAAAGTTTAACCTCAATTCTCAGAGATGACATGGACATAACATGGAGAAGGGTGTTATTTCCATTTGTACAGAGCCTATCTGAATAGTCAGGGCAATCATAAGCTAGCAAAATCCTTCTTCTTGAAGCATTTGCATATATTTTTACCTGAATCGGGTAAGAGCCACAGATCTGTATTAATGAATCAAACAGTCTAGGAGAGCACAGCCTAAAGCCATGTATAATTTGGGTGCAAAAGCAATCTACAGCCCATGAAGAGGTACCTGATAGTTATTGACACAGAAACTTATCTAGAGAAAAAAAATCACACTTACCCCAAGTGCCTTAGAAATTGCAAGATATACACATTCTTTGCCAATACTGTATGCCCCAACAACCACTAAAGTTCTAGGATGCATTTTGAGGTGGTTCTTTGCAATTTTGACAACATAGTTTAGTACATCTTCCTTGAAAGGAAACCTGAAGCAAAAATTTGTTACTAAGAAGAACCGTCAATTTATGTTTAAAGAGCCAAATATATTGTAACCAGATGCCAAATCTATTCAAATTTTTAACATGATCAGTGTCTTACTTGTATTTTGGGTTGCAATATGTAGTATCCAGATATAGCACATTCACATGTTTATTTACAAAAAGATGGTAGTCTTGCATTAGTTTACAAGCTCTGAAGTCCCCAGTATGCAAATAACATTGTCCATTTGGGAGCTCGAAGTGAATCAAAGCTGCACCAGGGCAATGGTTAGCATCTATCAAAGTCACTTTGATACCATCAATCACATATTCTGTGTCAAATTCCAAAGAGCGTATGTACCTATATAAAGAAATAGTATAAAAAGCTAATCACTTCATTGAAATGGAAAAGAAAAAATATGATCAAGTGCACTTCGATTTTTCTGTTCGTTTAAGTGAGTAATCTTAACAGGAGTAAAAGATAAAAGAGTTTCTGAGTTCTTACGAAGGATTTACATAGAGACACATTTTAACTAGCCGTCCAGTAAGAGGAGAGCAATAAATAGGACCATGTGACCATTTCTTGCTAAGACCACCATAGTGATCAGCGTGGAAATGACTAAGAAAGTACGCTGAGCACTCCTCAACACATCCATAACGAAAAGCGTCAACTGTGAAGTTTGTTCCTGCATTGCCAAATAGACTAAAATTCAGAAACTATACAGTTTTTTCTTATCATAACAAACCAAAAAACATATCAACATGTAAATATTGGCAAACTGATTTTCCATCTCAATCTGTTCTTTGGATTTTCTGCACTCACACAGTCGTCTGGTCTAAAACCAGCCACTCAAGATTTAAATCCGCTTTAAGCTATGTAACATCGACACTTCAGGATGAAGGCATGCCTGAGTGCCCACCTCTACCACACTTACCCATGTAGCAACATTCAGTCACTTCTGTATTCTAATTATGTTATCAGCCTGATTGTCCACTTCTACGACACTGACACATGTAGCAACATTCAATCACTTTTGTATTCTAATTATATTATCAGTGTCTACATGTTAGTGTCAGTATTGTGTCGCATGTTTGACAGTTATTCACGGGTTCTAGGTTTGTATTTTGGACCAGATTTCCCATGGTAATACTAATGTATGAAGAACATCAGATTACACATTAAGATAACATAAGAAAGAAAAAAAAAAGGCTTTTCAAAAACATTGATATTCCCCTTCTGGTCTAGATTTTATGAACAAAATGACTTGGAACTGCTTTTAACCTAAAAAAGTAACAAAATTGTATCAAAATATCAGTAAAAAATTCCATTTCACCTGGCATTTTTTTATAAAAGGGACAGGAACGTGTAACCCTATTCTCTCCATGAAGACTCTTTCTCTTACTAGAAGAATTTGATTTCTCAAACACTATCCCTTTGCCACTCAAAATCGAACCCCAACTTCCAGGTGTAACAATCTTCTTCTTCTCAGATGAAACACTACCCTCGCCTATATCATCACAATAACCACCTTGTTTGGATTCAAATTCAACAGAACCAACAGCAACACTTCTTTTGAATCCCCAAATCTGGAACAGATTGGCCTGCTTCAGTTTCTTGCCAGAAGATAACGAATCGGGCGTGAGCGTGAGGTCCCTGGATCTGTAAACGTCTGGCGACAACAACGACGAACAATCGGATCCGGAGCGATAGAAATCGGCGGCGAAACTGCTTTTCTCAGATTCGTTTGGCGAAGCGTCTTCCCCTGGGACTTGTGACGGGAAGCCTTCATCGTCTAGTAAAAAGGTATCGAGCGACGCGCCGTCGTCGTGGATGTCGTGACAGTCGCCGTCGTGACTTAAGCATCCGTCTTCTAACTCCGGTGGAGGTGAGGCGGTGGATAACGACGGCTCTTTCATACCGGCGCGAAAAGCATTGAAAGTGGTAAGGGGATTTGGTTTTTTAAATGAACCAGCGGGAAGATTAACGATTATTTTTCTCCCGATTTTAGTGAGATATAATAAAATGTTTAAATTATTCTTAATCCTTTTAAAATAGAAAAGAAAGTGAAGTAGTAACTAGTAAGACTAATTTGATTTTATAAAAAAAAATTATAATTATATTTTAAATTATTATGTTTCAATTTTGAGTATAATGATAACGCAAGTGTAAAAAAAAAGATTTAAATGTATTTTTTATCTTTTAATTTGAATTAATGATAAAGATTGAACATTAAATTGTACAATTGAACTTTTAAGAAATTTCAATATTTTGACGCAAATGATTCGACATTGAACCATAACAATTGTTTGAGCTGATTTTAGATTTTTTTTTTATTAGAGAGATTGAGAAGAGAGGAGATACTTTTGAAAAAAAAAATCTCATCCCTCTAATATTCATGTTTTTAGAATGGTTTATTTTTTAGGGAATTGAATATAAATTATATTATTCTAAAATAAAGGACTTTAACTGTAGTAATCACTTTTAAATGGTTTTTTTGTATTTATTTATTTGTGTTAAAAAATTTATCAATTTTCGTCGAAAGTATCGCAAATTAGAAATTAGGATAATTTTTACACAAGTGTCGCAATTCATGTGTCACAAAATAGTTAATTTTTTGTAGTGTTAAGATAATAACTGAAAATGGTATACTTGAAAGGATAAAAAAGCTACACCAAATTTATATTTTTTCTTTATATATTGTTCTAGATAATAATAATAATAATAATTAACACATGAGTATTGGTGTAGTTTATAAGTATCCAGGTGATTTTTTAGTGGTTGTAATTGTGCTTTTGTGTGATTTCTTCTTTCTTTGCCTCTCTGCTTTATCGGTCTTGTTGTTTTTTCTTTTTTCAGACACTTCTTATGCTTTGTCATGTGTCATGTGAGAGAGTACTTTTAGATTTTGAATGATGTCAAATATAGGATAATGTAGCGTTATGCATATTGGACGGTATCCTCCAGTTCTAAATGAGCATCTTAGTATTAGGAAGCACTAAAATGATTTGGAAAATGAGTTTACATTCTACATGTATTAAATACTTAGTTTTTGTAAAAAAATGCATTGAAAAACAAGTTTTTGGGTGGTCAACACATTTTAGGCGGACACATGCGTAAACAAGTCGACTTATAGAAGTTTCAACTTTAGTATAGTTATTTCAGGTTGGTTCCCACGAATCAATATTAAAGTCTGTAGCCACTTCCTACAGTTCGCCTCACTTAGGTCAACACAAAACCTTCATATGACGACCTGAGACCTTCACAGGTCGACCTGAATACCTTCATAGGTTGATCTATTGCTTCCATAGGCCGACACATACCATGCTCATTTTCAAAAAAAAATTAATTTTACTTCATCCAATTGCAGTCCTTTTGCTCATTTTCTCCCGCACCTATATATACTCATACATGCATCATATTCTAGCAAGATACTAGTGTAAATCTAAATGAAACCAGAATTACAAAGCATTTTCATCATCTTCAACCTCTCTTCTATGCATACACACAATTAAACTATACATAATCATTTTTTGATTAGGTGACCATCTAGATTAGGGTTGATAATGTCCAATTAGGTTGGTGTAACCAAGAATATTGGGTTGGGATCTTTGTTGGTTTCAAATAAGAAAGCCAAGTTGGAGTTTTCCTTCAAGATAATTATGATTTGAAGGTTTTGGACAATATCATGCAAATACGGATTTGACAGAGTGAAGACCTTAGGACAAGGTGGGTGCAAGGGAGTAGTGCGAGACAGTGAATCGTGTTCGTGAATCTTGGGTTTAATAAGTGTGTGCTAGGGATTACCCCGGTCGAGCGAAATCCTTGAAGACGACGAGGTCTTGTAAGCAAGTAGTCAATAACTGGTGGATTATAAAAGCATTTTGGTGACTTGATCAAGCTTTGATCAAGGGTTTAGAGGTAGTAGAATCAACAACAAACCCTAGGGTTTGTGGGGTTAGAGTTCTTCATCTCTTGTATAATCATATTTTGTAAAGATAAGATTAATTGCAAGTATCTCAATTAGATTTTGAATTGAGGGCATACATATCCATAACGAGGATGATTGGGGAACTGCTTAAACAAATATTTGTGTCTCTCTTTCTTTATCTCTATATCTCTTTAGTTATTGTTCTTATAAGTTCATTATTGCCTTTGATCAATTCGATTGGAAATTGTTTTATATTATTCTTTTAAAGTGTTGTTGTTGATATAATTATAATCACTTTGATTGTGATTGGATTTTAACATCAACAAAACAAATCGAATTTCCAAACGTTATCAATCGCACACAAAGTGTTCGATAAATTGCCTTTGAGTATTTTAATTGATTTTTGTTCATTGAAAATAAGCTCTACGAATAACTTATCATTTAATTGATTTGTGACTTAATCGTTGTTGAACAATTTGTGTTCATTATCATTCAATTGGTTTACGTTATGCATATCCGAACTTTTCGATAGTAGGTTCAGTTAGACGATTTGATTCAGGTTGTTTCCAATGTGCCATAAAACTTTTGAAAACCATTTTTTCCAAAAAGTTATTTTTAAATTTGTGATCTATTCAACCCCCCCCTAGATCGTAGCCTATCGTCTAACATTAGTAATGTATCATGACATTTTATCCCATTAATATATTATGTTTTTTCATTAAAAAAACCAACACATATATTTTCTTCTTAAATAATAATATAATACTAACAAAATATTAAATCACACCAAAACTAAAATATCAATAAAAATAATATTCGAATAAATTTTGCAGTGTTACAATTCTCCCCCACTTATTGGATTTTCGTCCTTGAAAACTCATCTGAAACCAAAAAGCCTCGGTAAGACCCATTCATTTGACTTTCTAGTTCCCAAGTCACGGTACTATTAACAATTATGCCCCATAGGACCTTAACCAAAGGAATTTCTTTTCCTCTCAAGTGTTTTACTTTTCGATCTTTAATTTCCAAGAGTGATGTTTCATAAGTTAAGTTATCTCTTATTTGCACATCATTCGGCTGAATCACATGTGACAAATCAAGAAAGTACTTCCAAAGTTTAGAGACATGAAAGAACCATGGAAATTTAAAATATGTGAGGGGTAATGTGATCTGGTAGGCAACTTTGTTTACTCTTTTAAGAATGTGATACTCATAAATAAAATGAGGGGTAAGTTTCTGCGACTTCAATGCCCGCCAACCCAACCACTATATTTACTCTAAAGAACACACAATCTCTTTCATGATTCGCTTATCATGATAAATTTTATGCCTGCTTTGCAACGTCCTCATATTTTCTTGAATTATCTTAACCTTTTCAGTAGTCTACTGAACTACTTTGGGTCCTAACACGATGCTTTCACCAGATTCATACCAACATTAGGGCGTCCTGCATCCTATACCATATAACACTTCAAAATGTGTCATTTTAATACTAGAATGAAAAATATTGTTATAAAAAAATTCAATCAGTGGTAAATAACTATCCCAACTACCTTTTTGATCTAAAACACATGCTCTTAAAATATATTCCAATGATCGGATAATTCTTTCCATGTGATCGTCAATATGTGGATGATAGGAAAGCTCAATCTTAACTTGGTTCCCATTGCTTTATGCAGTCTTTCTTGAAACCTCTATTTGAATCTATGATCTCTATAAGAAACTATGATAGATGAAATCCCTTTCAATATCACTATTTCACTTATATAAATCTCAACCAACTTCTTCAATGGGTAAGTGATATTGATTGGGATAAAGTGAAATGATTTGGTCAAATTATCCACTATAACCCATATCGAATCATACCATTTGGTGGTTCTAGAAAAATCCACCATGAAATCTATAAAGATGTTGTCCCACTTCCACTTGGGGATACTCAAAGGTTGCATCAATCCATATGACTTCTGATGTTCTATCTTCAACTTCTGACAAACTAATCAAGAACACACAAACTCAACAACATCATTTTTCATGTCTGGTATTGATACATCGTTGTAAGTCCAAGTGAGTAGTCAAACCACTCTTATGTTTGTATCTATTTGCTTTCATGTATAAATTTTATAACTTGGAAAAATACCTTATCTGAAGTTTTGATGACGATAGCATAAATAATTGTCAATGGCAATAGCTCTCAACAGTCTGATGATTGTGAACTAACCAATAAAACATTTTAAAAGCTTGGCAAGAAAAGAGACTCAAGATTGAAGTGCTTATATAATTGATGCATCCAGCAAAGAGTAATGAAGCCTCAGATGAAGTGTGAAAGCTCGTCAAGTTTTGTCTGTCTAAGTGGCAAAAGTTTCGTAAAAGTAAGGAAGTGGATTTTAAGTTATGTATTGTTATATTTTTACTACTTACGTTTTCTTTTCACGCTTATATCATAATAATCTTCATTTATATTCCCAAACACTATTATATATCTCTAAAATTTCTCATCTTCACTTCCAATTTTCTGCAAATATGGTTGGCACTCGTCAAGGAACAAATACATCCTACATGGAAAAGAAAATTTTGAAAAAGGTTAGGAAAGTGCCCAAAGGTGGTGATGCTTTCTTCGATGTTCATGGTGTCAAGATAAAATATGTTGTGATCAGAGTAACAACCAATGGTTAGACTGGAGGTCCTTTCCCCATAAAACGTCCAAAGGAGTTCAAGAAGAAGAAACTAAAAAAGTTAAATGATCATGTCTCTCTCGTAGTGGATGATCTAACATGTAAAGTCTCTAAAACCTCTACTAAAACAAAGGCACCCAAAAGCACCAAAGAGTTCACTCTCCCTCAAGCATGGGAAACAAGCCAAGCGTTAGATGATGTTTTAGATTTCGTTCCTCTTAAAGTACTTTTTCTTGACAAAGAGAAATGTAAGTATTCTAAATCCATTTAACCCTCTATAGATGTTTCTGTAGTCACTCAACCTAGTATGGGAACT